TTACTGAGATGAAAAGGGGCCACAAACACATTTAAAAAGGTTACTTCCCCACAAAAGAGGTGGTAAGACTTAATCATGTGTGTTGACTCAGCAGGGATGATATTAAATAAGTTGATCTACAGGAGAAAAATATTTAAAAGCTAAGCTAGAAGATTATATTCTATTATAATTATATATTTTGAATTGTCACCTGCCACCTGAAATTTTAGACATTTCCACAAAAAATTGGTGCAGAAAAGGCAGAAATTGGAGGAGAAATTTTCACCAGAATGCAGGAAATTAAGTGTTTAATGCTCAAAATCTTCTTTTGTTACCTTTTCTGTGTTTTTAATAACAATAGTAACAATAAAAAACAAAAACAACAACATTCAGGGCAAATAGCAAACATCTTTTTTCATGGGGGGGCGGTAGGGGACCTGGATAATGCATAGGGGAGCGCTGGCCCAAAAAAGGTTGAGAACCACTGATCTAAACCATCAATCTGCCTCTTAGACCCCATCCCGACTAGGTTGCTTAAAGTTTTACCCTTAGTCAGCACTTCTATACTAGACACAATCAATCTATCAACAGGCTATGTACCACAGTACTTTAAAGTAGCTGTAATTAAACCTCTTCTGAAAAAGCCCAAACTTGATCCAGATGGGGTTTTTTTTATCAGATCGATTTCAGTTTGTACATGTTAACGATGAGTCCTCCATGCATGCCAAAGTTAGTCATGGAGTTCCTCAAGGATCTGTCCTCGGACCAATCCTCTTCACTTTTATATGCTTCCTTTAGGCAATATTATCAGGAAATATTCCATAAACTTTCATTGTTATGCAGATGATACTCAGTTGTATCTATCGATCAAGCCAGATGAAACTAATCAGTTAGCTAAACTTCAAATGTGCCTTCAGGATATTAAAACCTGGGTGACCTGTAATTTTCTCATGTTACACTCAGATAAAACTGAAGTTATTGTTCTGGGCCCCAAGCACCTCCGTGAAGCATTATCTAAAGATATAGTTTCCCTTGATGGCATCCCCCTGGCCTCCAGCAACACTGTGAGGAATCTTGGAGTTATCTTTGATCAGGACATGTCGTTTAAGTCTCACATTAAGCAAATTTCAAGGACCGCCTTTTTTCACCTACGTAATATTGCGAAAATCAGGAACATCCTTTCTAAAAATGATGCAGAAAAACTAGTCCATGCATTTGTTACTTCTAGGCTGGATTACTGCAATTCCCTATTATCTGGCTGCTCGAAAAAAGTCCGTTAAGATTCTTCAGCTGATCCAGAATGCTGCAGCACGTGTTCTGACAGGGACCAGGAAAAGAGATCACATTTCTCCTGTTTTAGCTTCTCTGCATTGGCTTCCAGTAATATCAGAATAGAATTTAAAATCATTCTTCTTACCTACAAAGCTCTTAATGGTCAGGCACCATCTTATCTTAAAGAGCTCATAGTACCTTACTACCCCACCAGAGCACTGCGCTCCCAGAATGCAGGGTTACTTGTGGTTCCTAGAGTCTCCAAAAGTAGACTAGGAGCCAGAGCGTTCAGCTATCAAGCTCCTCTCCTGTGGAACCAGGTTCCGGTTTGGGTTCAGGAGGCAGAGACATCTCTACATTTAACAGTAGACTTTCCTCTTTGATAAAGCTTATAGTTAGGGCTGGCTCAGGTGAATCATCCCTTAGTTATGCTGCTATAGGCCTTGACTGCCGGGGGACTTCCCACTTTCTCTCCCTCTGTATGCAACCTCATCCCATTAATGCATGTTACTAACTCAACTTCTCCCCTTTCTCCCCTTAGTCTTGTGCTTTCTCGTCCCTCTCTTATCCCTCCTATCACTTCCTGCAGGTGTTTCTGGCTCTGTGGTTGCAAGTCACCCGCTGCCCCCGTGTTCCTGCTCGACACCCTCTGCTACAACTATTGTTACTAGTCCTATTGTTGTTGTTATAATCATTAACATTACGATTATTATCATTAACACTAATATAAAAATCTGTACCATTTTTCATTTAGTCTATAGCAACATCACCTTTACTGTCTGTACCTCTGTGTGTATATTGTGTAGTCCCCCCCCCCCCCTTCCTTCACCCCCAACTGGTCGAGGCAGATGGCCGCCCACCCTGAGCCATGGTTCTGCTCGAGGTTTCTGCCTCTTAAAGGAAGTTTTTCCTTGCCTCTGTCGCCTAGTGCTTGCTCTTGGTGGGAATTGTTGGGCTTCTATAAATAACATCACAGAGTATGGTCTAGACCTGCTCTTTTATAAAAGTGCTGTGAGATAACTGTTGTTGTGATTTGGCGCTATATAAATAAAATTTTATTGAATTGAAAATTGAATTAATTTCTACGCATTAGATAAGAGGTTAATTGTCCTTAACGATCAGAACTGTTAAAATTCCATCCATCGTCAACCGCTTATCCTGCTTACAGGGTCGCGGGGGGCGAGCCAATCCCAACTTAGGGAAAGGCGGGGTACACCCTGGACAGGTCGCCAGTCCATCGCAGAGCTACACATAGACAAACAATCACTCACACTTAGAGACACCAATTCACCTAGCCTTTGGACAGTGGGAGGAAGCCGGAGCACCTGGAGAGAACCCACGGGGACACGGGGAGAACATGCAAACTCCATACAGAAAGGCCGGGGCAATAATATTTCCAAGACAATATTGATGGTTAAACCTTCTTAATGAGAAAATATAAGACAATTGTTCAAGAATGACATAAGGTTAAACAATAAACACAATAAATAGATGAGCACAAGGAGATGAAGTTAAGAGCACTTCCAATGAACTTAAACCTATGATTCTTTAGCTTTCAACATAGTTTCTAAACAGGGTAAATAAGATACTCAAAATTGAAGGGGAGAGGGCCACTACCTAAATTAAAAAAGTAACTATTGAACTAGAACAAAGTAAATAAGACAGGTTTATAGTGAAAGGGACATTCTTTGTTCATAAAACGAATTTGAGCTTGTGTCCTCTTCTTCAGCCAGGCACTTTAGATGTCTGTTGATCTTCTTATCAGTTTGCACTTCAGCTCGACCCAGGTAGTGGGCAGCATTTGTGGGGTGTATGTTGAAGTCTCAATTTTATGGCTTCTGACCACTCTCGTGTGGTAGAAGCATGGCAAGAAAAGGGGGTGTCTGCCTTTGATGTGTGCAGGACTACAGGATAATGGCCCGTGGTCCTCCTGGAAAGTGTCAACAAGTGACACCCTTACAGCAAGAGTGGCCAGGAATGGTCCCAGAAAAACATTTTAAGTTTGGTATGTATGCTTGGGTTTATGCAGGGGTTCTTATCTAAACATCAATAGCTGTGTTGTCCTTCCTTTATATGGGAGAAAGGCCAACTCTTTGGGTCAGCAAGGTCTGTGATAAAACAAGGCTCACCTTGGCTTGATATGAAACAGAATGTGTCACCTGATTATATAATTAATTATTAAATAATAGTAATAATTATAATATTTAACTTTTGATGCCATTTAAACCCTAATTCCCAACACAAGAAATCCCATTAACATTACGCTCTTTGATCCATTGTTAGGATAAACATCTTGATTAGTGCAGATGTAATTATTCATATTGTAAAGATGAACAGAAAGAGAAATAACTCTTAACTTCAAAAGTCCACTGACTCTGGCTGTGCTGCGTTTCTGCTGTGCTATGGTTTTGTTCCATCCTCTGCCCGGCGTCAACATCCACTGGATGCGTCTCAGATGCGTTAAAGCAGCAGAGTGTGTAGCCTGCCCCACGTTATTGACTTGTTAGTAATTTGTCATTCTGTGCTCCAACTACCTTCTTCACAGCTCTCTCTCTCTCAAAAATAGACTAGTTACCCATTCCCTGCGGAATGGAGAGCTGCGTCACGGACGCACTTTGGACACACTACGGCCGCGTCTGGTGGACTTTGTCGGTAATCCTGTGCTGTTTCTGCTTGGTTATTCCTCCCTTTATTTAAAAGCTTATGACAGTCACTACCTGTCTTAGCTGTTGTAGGAACTGTCTCAGTGGTGGAAGTAGGACACATGGATTTACCTTTTGCTGCGGCCATCAGTTAAGTGTAAAGGGAAGTTGTGCAAATGTGAAATGTAGAAAAAATTTTAAAACAAAGACAAACTAATTACAAAACTGTTCAAATGTATGTCAAACGAGCAAAAGGAAAATGACGAAGAGTAGGCCCCTGATTATACGGCTCTAGCACATGCTGCTTTTCCAGGCCCACGCTGGACTCTGGAGAGGAGCCTCTACCCTGGCTTTATACAGGAAGCCCCTTCGAAGAGACAAACCACAGTTAACAGATATCAATCAATCACATGCAATATTTACATAGCAAAACATTTCTATCCACAGAAATATAACATATATAATAACTAAATATTATTATGACAGAAATGTATACTTATTTAGGGCCTCTAAAAGTTGGTATTGGTGAGTAATTGATGTTAACAGGAAGTGCTAATGCCCCCAAGTTCATCTACCCTGATGTTAGGAATTTGGGCTGCTATATTCCAGTCGAATACCAAACTGTCGCTAACAAACCCACCCATAATCGAATCTTCTTTACGCCTTCCCGTGCCCCTGGTGGGCCCGCGCATCTGGCAACATAACTATAATGTGCTTCGTGCCCTGCCCCCTGAGGGAAGATGACAGAATCTGTAACTGTTTGTGGTGAGGCCTTTTAAAAAGTTCACTGCTGCAGCAGGGCTCTACTACCCGACTTAAGAGTTACTTCAAATGCCAACACTGAAGACGCAGATGCTGTTGCATTCAGACTTTGATCATACTTTAATCAAACACACTGAAACACAGTCAAAGTCACAAGGTGATAGTATGTCAATATCAATCAATGGATCAAAATAGCAGAATTTACCAAAACATTTGACGAATTGTAAGAAATCTTTTAGATATTTTTGAAAACAGCAAAAACAGTGCGAAGTGTTCACACTAGCCCAGTGTTGAATCATTTCATGAGGAACGTCTTTCTTCAGCAGGCGGTGTTTCGGGTGTTACATGTGGTAGCACTTCATGGTGAACACTAGTCTTTCCTCCTGGTCAGAGGCCAGTTCCTCCAGGCTGCTGTTAATGACGGCTGAGAACACAGAGGGAAAAGAAAGAAACTTGAAACATGAAAATGTAACATCAAAGCAAACTACAGAGCAAATCATGGTCACAATAAACAGGGGATGTCCTGATGGCTTACGACACTATGTAACCACAGCAACCTGGTTCCATTATAGGCAGGGACCCCCATTTCCTGTGTGTCTCTATACTAATAACAACAGTATACAGTACATGCACAAAGGAAGAAGGAAAGGTGAACGCTAAAATAGGCAATTTGTTGTGTGAACATGATGACATCACTTCTTGATTGAATATAATATTTATTTATTCAGTCCTGTGTTTCACATGACTGTGTTCTATGCTTTCTTTATTTGCCTGTTCACTGTAGCTCAGTTGAACATCCTGAAGTTTCTTAAAAAGTAGTCTGAATCTTACATACGGCCTATCAGGCCATGTGTTGAAATATCTAAATAAACATCTTAACATGATGAGTCGTGGTGGTGCAATGGATAAGACACATACCTTTGGTATGTGAGACCTGGGTTCAATCCCCCACTGTAGACACTTAACCCCTGGTTGCTCCAGAGGGAAAAATGTAATGCAGAACTACAGTAAAAGGTCAAGTATTTTAAGTTAGCCTTTGTTATAATTCAAATCAGCATTAGACGCGGACAACTTTTTCTACTAATGTGTGAATGAAATGAAACTTTGGTATGTTACAATGATCAGTTTCAGTCCACCAGTGATCTGAACTCACACTTCCTCACTTGTTCCTCCATACTTATCCAGGGGTTGGCAAAACCACTAAAGAGGAAGTTATTATCAGAGTAGCTGTGGCTCAGGGGGTAAAGCGGGTTGCCGGTTAATCGGAGGGTTGTCGGTTCAATCCCGGGCTCCTCCAGGCTTCATATCAAAGTATCCTTACTGATACAAAACCCTGAATTGCCTCTGGTGGCTGTTCCGCTTGCGTGTGAATGTTAGTTTTTGTTTGAGCACTCAGTGAATGAATGTGTGTGAATGGTGAATGGAGATGTAGTGTAAAAGCGCTTTGAGTAGTCGAAAAGACTAGCATCCACCTCTCTACTTTAACATTTAAGATTAGCTGTGTTTGATCCACCTTCATCCACATATGTGACATTATTACATTACTGTATAACTTGAGAAAGGTAAGTTGTTTTCTGCTCCAGCCTGTCTAAATTAAAAACATTTTTACGGTACAGAGGGGATTAAATGGTCTTTATTATTCTTATTATTCTATATAAGAATATCTTATTATTCTAAATCATGCAATGAAGTAGAAGAAATGCATAATGAGTCCTTGGACAAAATCAATTATATCTATTGAAATTAGTATAATATTTTGGAAGCACTACAATTTAGAAAAACACTAATGAATTAATAGCTGCCAGATGTCATTGTTTATTGTCAACTGTTCAGTTCTCTTTACCAGCACTGTAACCTGTAGGTACCCAGAATTTTGAGTTTAATACTTGCATATTGCAAACCAAAAGGACAGAACATAATCAAACAGTTTTATTTGTTGTATTATTTCAATGTACAACTGTACTTCAATCTCAAAATCGTTACTTCAATTAAGATGCTTTAATGCAATTTAAAATCTTTATGTAATCAGAGTTATCCTGAACTCAAATGTGATAGCCTAGTTATTGTCAGGAATTATTTAATGTTTTCCCAGCAA